TTTGACTGCACTTGTCAGAAATTGCACACAAGATGGACCAACCTCATTTCTCTGCACTTTATGTGGAAATCACATCTGGACTCTGTGCATATTGTGCTCTTTCTCAAATTCTTTCTTTTGTTCTGTGATCATTTAATTATGCAGTGTTTCTGTTCTGCATGATAGGCCAGCCTCAAATCTAAAGATTTTTGTTGTCAGCGGGAGAAAGTATCACATATTGATATTGATTACTTACACTGAAATGAAAAGAAAGGCATGAGGTCAATGCTGTCCCATCAGAAGAAAACACTGCTCAGTTTTTGCATGTCCCAGTGAGACCATTTACTGTACATGCTGAAATGAAGCAAGCCACAGAACTTCCATTCTTTGCCCTCTCTCAGAAGGGGTTTGTGTGTACAAGAACTATAAAAGTCCAGAGTTCTCCTATGTATGATTCAAAGAACTGTGCTTCTGCCCTCCAGAATGACAGCAAGAGCTGAACCCTTTGAGCTTTTAGCTTGAGGTTTTAAACTGTCATATCAGAGCGTAGCTTCTTCTTGGAGAATTATTGGTGTCTTAAGTCACCAGTGCTTCTGAGCGTGGAGCAAAGTAGTTGGTTTCAGTATCATGAAGATCTTCACGGTTTTTATCTTGCACAGAGCATGAATACAGCTAACACAATGTCAAACCCTAATTGATGTTAACTTGCCTTCCCACTGCAGATGATGGATGCTCCCAGCAGACGATCTTGTTCCCTTTAGCATTCTGCTGACCTTCCTCAAGCATATTGAAAGACAGGAGAGGGAGATACGTCCCACTTATTGCTTGCCTGTCCAGAAAACTGTGCATGTCTACAAAGGAGATATTTCATCTTCACATTTGTTATTTTTAGTAGAAAGATGCCATATGCATTGCAAGAAATGGCAGAGAGATGATGTAACACCTTCTCCAAGACTGTTCAGACCAGTGAATGACCACTTAATACCACTGGAAAAAAAATAATTAATTAATCCTGGAGAATAATTTCAGTTCAGTCAATTGACTTATTTTAATACATTAATTTAGCACTTTGTTTCTTATATAATGCTTGATCCTCCTTTGATTTATAGTGTTCCAGACTGGGAGAAGACCACCAAATCAACCAAGGACATGGCTGAAGGACCTCCAAGCCCTTCTGTAGTGCTCCATTTCTCCTTCCAAAATTCCATAGGGAATATTAAGACTCCTGCATGGCACAGACAAATGTTGTGACGTGCAACACACCATGCAGTTGAGCTATTTAATAAACTGTCTCTTCCACTGATATCCTGTGACATAACTCTGGTTTCCAAACAATACATCATTAACATCTGAATATGCAACACAGAAGAATGGAATACTGCTTTACATCCGCATACCAATATTCACCAGAATTGTGCTCATATGTCTTCACATCTTAAAAACAGCCAGAGAAATGGGAAATGAGCTGTTGTCATTATCAGGATTTGGAGATGAACAGAGAAAGGACAGACTTACCAACATGCACTGTATCCACTTCAAGCTATAGAAGGGAGTGTCAAACGCATAGCATGCATTTACTCAGATGGGATGTCATTGAGAGCTTCCCAAGCATGTTTGCTTTCAGATTTTATAAGATGAAAACCTGAGAAAAGGGCCTTTGTCTCTTTGATTGTAATTTGTTATCGTCATCTCACAAAAGGGCTGTTAACACCTAAATTCTAATCACTGCCAATCTGCATTGAATTCTTATTTCTAGTATCTCATCAGTTGATTGATACTGCTTAACATCAAAAGAAAAAAAAATCAAATTACTGTTCAGTGTGGTCTAATTCTATGGAAAAAATATGCAAAAATAGCTACATCTGACATCCGTTTTATTAATCAGGCTATTTTTAGAAGATAAACCAGTCAAGAAAACAGCAGGAGTTTAATAAACTGTACATTAGTAGAACGATTATGGAGTAGTTGCAACAGAATGTTCCCTCTGATAGCGAGCAGTAGGAAACAATGTTCAGTTGGAATGCACACAGTATTCAAGTGAATAATAAATTTCATGGCTCTCTATGTCTTGTTCTGCAAAGCGGGTTTTGAAAATTATAGGGAATGCCTACATTTAACAGTGAAGGACCTCACAACCATCAATGGTTTTATAATCACATTCTCCTCCTGCAGAAAGAAGCAGAGAGGGATGCAGTCTGGATTTTATGTCTTAGCCAAGTAAAGCCAGGGACAGGAGCTGAGCCCATGTCCAGGATCTCCCTTTCTTGGACCACTCCTATTCTACACATTCTTTAAATGCCCTGGATGAAGGTTCAAGGGAATAAAAGGACAAAAATTCAGTTTCTTTAATGGCAAAGTAGGCTGTCTCATACAGGTATATGTATATGTATATATACGAAATATAATTTCCATATTACTGGTCATTTTTACCATCCAAAGTACTAACACTTCTCAAACATGTAGAAATGCTGAATTGGAGACATCCTGAATACTGTATGTTTTAGAAAGCGCCCATAAAAAAAAAAAGAAACAAAGTATTTTCACCTTCCAACTTGTCAACTGGACCCACACTGAAAACTTATGTAAATTTCTGTAAATTTTATGTTAATCAAGAAGGCTCTAAAGTCATGAGATTACATTTTGTCATCATTTGCTGGTGCCATCCCTACTAACTCAAGTGCTAACAGATGTTCAAACTGATTGTAAGGGATGAAACAAGAAGGAGCAGTTCAGACATATCCCTTTATTCCCTTTTGTCTGTACATTTTACCAACCGCTAATTATAATTATTGAGTTCATAAAAAATAAATTGCATACAGTAACACGCTGGCTACTATGGTTTATTTCAAAGTAACTTACAGGCACTGTATTTCCCCACTGCAGTATGAGTCCTTTGCAGTAATGAAGATGTCACATGCAAGACAGACTTTTGCATGGCTCCAACTGCCTTTTTTTCTGTATTAAAACTGTTTGCAACTTTATGTCATCTTCATAAATGTGATCAATAGCAATAATAACGTTGTAAGACAGATTATTCTTTTCCCCCATAAGCCCAGCCTTGCTGTTGGTGGTAGCTCTACTTTGTTTGTTTTTTTTTCTTACATTTTCACTATTTCTTGAGTGAAGTTCACACAAAGAAAAAAACATACTGGTCCCTGCTCCTGCTGGTTGCACTGTTGGTGATACAAGCCATGATGCCATTGGCCCTCTTGGCCACCTGGGCCACACTGCTGGCTCATGCTCAGCCAGGTACCAACCAGCACCCAAGCTCCCTTTCCTCCATGCAGCAATGTCTGCTCTGTGCATGTTTCTACATAATATGTATATAATATATATGGCTTGAAAGTCTCACCTCCTGGAGCCCTGTACAAACCAAGACTCCCAACGCCATCAGACCAAGCAGGCAGACCAAAAACTCCCAAAAACTCCACAAAAAAAAAAACAAAAAAAACCAAAAAAAACTGTGTATATGAACACTCATTGGCATGGTGACCAAGCAGCTAAGTAAAGCCATAGTGATTATAGTGCACATAACTGGATAAACCTACTGCAGGGAGCCTGCTTTAGCAGGGGGTTGGATTTGATGATCACCACAGGTCCTTTCTAATCTCTACAATTCTCTAATTCTATGGCTTGTTCTGCTAGAGGAAGTCTCAGCAGACGGGCAGTTCCTCAGATCACGTGAAAAAGTCAAGTATTAGCCAGAAAAATACTTTTCAACTCTGAAACACACAGCAAAATTGAATCTGAACCTCTAAGACTAATTAGATTAATCAACACAGCTATTGCTATACCTCAGGCACTGTAAAGTTCCAAATGAAGTATTGCAGACACCAGCAATAATGTATTTGTTAAATAAGCTTAATACAAGGTGGAGGCTGGTGGAGAAATACATACATCCTGGGGCATCACTCCATCATTTCTTAATGATAGAATATAACCTCATGGTTTGAGGGACTGAAAGTGGCAAAGCATTGCCACCAACCTGCCAATGTCCATCCTTTAAGGCTCCTGCATGCACATTTTGCATCGAGCAATTCAGCCAACCCTTAGATAAAGATGATCTACAAGTGTTTGCAGAGCTGAGGCCTGAGCAAGTGCTGCCGCAGGGAGGAAACATAAAGATGCATCCACACTGATACCTCTATTACAAAATCCTTAATAATTCAGAAGCTTTTGGAAGGCCAGGGAACACGATATCACTATCCAGAGCGGAAATAGTGTCTCTTCAGTTTGTTTGGATTTATTTTTAAACAAGTTTAGCAGTGTTCACATGGAGGCTTTATGAGAGGTTATAAGATTTCAGAGTGGTGAAAGGATGTTTTGGTCTTTTGAGAACCAAAATTTGACTTAAAAAAAATCAAAATCAATTTGAAAACGTATAGACAGACTTCATGAATCTGTACTCCAAGATCCAAGGGATGGGATACCTCTCCTATGACGACAAGCTGAGAGAGCTGGGACTGTGCAGCCTGGAGATGAGAAGTCTCCGAGGTGATCTGGTAGCACCTTTCAATATCTAAAAGGAAGCTACAGGAAAGAAGGGGACAGACACTTTGCAAGGACTGTGTTGATAGAACAAGTATAAATGATTACAAGCTTAAAAAGGGTAGATTTAGGTTGGATATAAGGAAAAAGTCTTTTACAGTGAGAGTGGTGAGGCGCTGGAACAGGCTGCTCAGAGATGTGATGGTTGCTCCACCCTTGAAGACTTTCAAGGGCAGACTGGACCAGGCTCTGGGCAACCTGATTGAGTTGTGGATGCTCATGTTCATTGCAGGGGAGTTGGACTAGACGGTTTTCAGAGGTCCTTTCCAACTCTAAGGATTCGATGATTCTATTCTATGATTCTAACCTATGGGGATTAATTTTTTTTTGAATCTGTGGATCTCAATAAACCCTTAAGATCTGAAGAAGCAACGGAAGAGAGGAAGAGAGGAAGAGAATGTAACAAAAGAAATTCCACGTTTTAAACAAACAAATAAAACACAGAGTAAAGCAAATACAATTTAATGGCAGAAGTGAAAGTGATGCAGTGACAGCATGATGGATGAGGTAAAAAAAACCATGCAGAGATCACATAATAGGAAAATTCTGAGTGCTGGGCACCACCAGAACGTAATGTTAATTTAAGGCAGAGCACAACCTTGCAGAATGCAGGCTGATGGCAGCAGCTCCAGTGACAGCTTTGCGGACTGTGGCTGTCATTGTCCTGACACCATGAAATATAGGGAACAGCAGAGTATCTTGATCTATGGTGGAGCTGCTAGGTGCTGCTTGGCTGAAATTAGACCCTGATGAGAAAAAAAGAAGTCATGAGGATCACCTGGACAAAGTCAGCTGTTGGTGGCTCATAAAAGGCAGGTGTAGTTGTGTTCTTGTTGCTCAAACATGCATCAATCTTACATACAGAGCATGGTGTGTTACAAGATGATGGAATTCAATCAGACTTGCACAGCTAATCTCACATTTATGTTTATTTATCCTTTCCTGCTATGAGGATTTCCAAATCTGTTTTGTTTGATTCAAAGCAAAAGAAAAAGTTTGTATGCAGGTTGTTAAAGGGAGAGGGAAGAGGATCTACCAAACAAATGCAACCATTGTAAGTGAGAACTGTTTGAAAAAAAAAAAAAAAAAAAAAAAAAAAAAAAAAAGAAAAGAAAAGAAAAAGAAAATCTGGCTTTGACACTTAAAAATTACTAGATTTGCAGTTTGTTCTTCAAGTAAAATAGATCTTGGTTTTACAGGAAGCAATGAGATGTGAGGAGCAGAAGCAATGGCTCCAAGCTTGAGTGGTCCTGTGTGGAGCCAGGGGTTGGACTCGTTGGAAGGGACCCATTAAGACCATCTTGGAACATTCTTTGTTTCTTTGGACCTCTATCAAAGGCAGAAACTCAACGCAAAACTTTGTAGCATAGTCATCTTTTCTCCTGGACCCTATTTATGCTCAGGACGCTATTCCCAATTTCTTCTCAGTTTCCACATCCAAAGCTATTTTAACTATGCCCCATTCCTAAGCAGAAGAGAGCCTGCAATTATCTCCTTATCTATATTTGGACAGTAATAACTCCATTCCAGACTGCTTATTTTAATAACAAACACCATTAATGTCCAAGCAACCTGTGGGAAGCACATGGTAAGCGCTCTCCTGTGCCTCATCTGAGTTCTGTCTTTGTGGGCATTCATGCTTCCCAGTTCACCAGGGCAGAACGAGTTTGCATCATGTCATGGTGTAACGACTGCAAGAGCTGTGGGGTTTGCTAGGAGCCCCTGAGGCAGGTAGTGATCAGATTTGTTCAGATCTCATCCTTCTGAGCAGTCAAGGTCAAACAAAAAGCCTTTGTAAGGAAGGGAAAGAGATGGTAGGAGAAAAGCAATTTAAAGTATAATTTAAAAACACAGCTGAGTGGATACTCACATTACATGGCCTTCTTGATGTCATGAGAAACACAACCAAAGTGTTCCAGATTCTGTCCACATGTCCTTTTCAAAGCATCATAGCATTCTCCAATCACTCCTACCAAAGTTTTTATCCTGAGGAATGTGCGAATACTCCTAAGAGGAAGAAAGTGAAAGGGATCCAGGAAACTGCAAATATGAAAATTAAGATTTTGGTCACTTGGCTTAGAAAGAAAACTGCCTGGAGAAGCAATTACTCACAGGGGCACAAAATAGAAATCAAAACGAGCATGAATCAAGAGTGGCAGAAAACAGGGAGATGAACAATAAACAACTGCGGGGAGATCCCATTTGTCATGTCCCCATGCCTGTGAGGGAGAGTGACGGATGGACACAGTAACATCTATATCACCTGTGTGTTGCATCCTGAGCATCAAGGAATCCAACACTGTCACAGTTTGAATCAAAACGAATGCTAAGACAGCTGTTTGATGGGAAAGGGATGGAGATACCTGTAGAAATGAAAATCATCTGGCTAAAGAACAGCCAGGACAGTTACACCTCTGACATCACAATCTAAACTAATCAAGTGCTCATTTTCAGTTTTTGTCTCCTGGCCTACAAAAATCTGCAGCTTCATTGTGCAGGTTATCAACCCGTTATGACAGGTTACATTTTGCTGTTTCTTTTTCAAGAGGTCTTGCTCATAATTAAGCTGCTAATCACTAATTCTTTTAATGCTGAGTTTATAACTGCTAATTTTCTTTCCCTTCTTTCTATCTTTTGCTCTAAAGATATTTCGCTGTGTACAGAATCTGGATATTGCTGTACAGCAGGGAAAAGGAACACATTGTTTTTGACACACGCAGAAATTGTGAAGATGAAGGAAAAAGACTTTTTTTTTTCTTTGGAAATAATAAGAAGAATTACAGATACGTGAGCAAATGTATGGTATAATCTGCAAGCTATAATTTAGGAGAGAGCTACAGATTTCATACTCGTCATTTAGAGAGGGAGACAATTACAGAGCAGAGGAGCCCTGGTGCTGTGGGAGTGCCTCTCTAACTGCAAATTTATGCTTGTTTTATATGTATTAAAATATATATGAAAAATGAAAACTCTTGAGGATTTGTTGATGCAACAAACACTTCGATGGCACTTACAAAAACAGGCTATTTACCTCAAAATATTTACACTGCAATGCACTGGGTTGCTATCTACATTTCTGCTTGCAAATGTCCTCCAAGATCTGACAGAAGAAAAAACGGAGTTTCTTTAAGATGCAAGTGCTCTTAATAAAAGAAATTTTGCTGTGCAATGGAAAGGCCACAAATATCTATAATTAGCGTGCTTTGCTGAAATAATTAAACACTTGAATTTTCATTTTGCATAGCCTAAACTGCTTCTGCATTGCAATGTGGAGGCATCTCAAGAATAGAGCTGCAAGGAAAACTGTGCTTGATGAAAAAGTAAATGTTATAAACTGATAGTTCAAAAGTAAAGTAAAGTATACAAAGGAAATTAAAAACACAAAGTTTTTTCTGCTTTTTTTTTTCTTTTTTAGAAGGAATTCTGAGCTATGGCAGATACTGCCCATTATAAAACAGACCAATACAGATTGGTTAATGCTTTCATCTACTCTACCTTTTACAATCAAGAAATACACAGATGATATAACTACAAAATATACACGAGAGCTTGGCTAAACAGGTTAATACACCAAAAAAAGAATAGATAGAGTGCTTATCCTTGTCCTGGGCTCACTGGAGAACTCCAAAGGAGGGATCTCCAGAAAGAGATCCTTCCTCACTACTAGTCAGCTCTTCAATAGGTCTAGGAGAGGTGCAGCCAGGCTCCAGCCCTTCCGGTAGCACAGCTGAATTGCCTTCACCTGTGCTCCCAGGGCTGACTCATTGCTTGCCTCAGGTGATCAATCAGAGGTTCAGGACGTGATTCAGCAGTTCCCATACAACCTTAGACATCATTGCTACAAAATGAGACATCCCAGAATTGATTAAAGATGCAAGAAATATCCGTGTGAATCCTACTCAGTGAGAACACTGTTTGGTTTCTTTTGCATGAGAGTTTGGTCAGTCTACACCTTCCTGCATTTTCAAGTATCCCAGCAAGACAAAACTATATCCAGAACTCATTTTCTTTCTTTTTGTCCTTTTGCTTTAGAGATATCAGGAAGACATAGAAATATGACAGCCAGGTTGAAGCAGTTGCCCTGTGTAAGCCTAGATGTCTTTTAACCCACTTCTGTACACCTCTGTGTGTTAAATGACAATGACAACACTAATCTGGTTCCTTGTGTTGCCTACTGAGACCAGAAAATGAACCAGAGACTGCAGGAGACAGGAGACAGAAAACAGAAGGAATTCCAGTCTTGCAATGGTACTCCAGAGGATGCACTATCATCCCTCATCTTACTGCAGAAAGTTAAAGCAAGTGAAATTGGCCAAAGTGCAGAAGAGGCTGCATTCAGAGCAGACTGTTCACTCCCTGCTTCAGGAACACTTCCCAAACTTTTCTTTCTCCGAATCAGCCTTATGTTTAAGAAATGGTGAGAAAACCTTGTTCTACCCACTGATGCTGCTGATAGAGACCCTGACACACCTTACTGGAGGTGCATTATCCCAGGCAAGAAGATGGGGAATGAGGCTATTGAAGCCAAAGCAATGATGGATGACACCCCTCAAGTGAATTATAAGGGAAATCAATATTATATCAAACACTTGGGTTTGAGGTTGGCAGCAATTTTTGATCACACTTTCTAATTAGGAAATGCTAACAGGGTCAAGCAAAGTATAGCAAGTTGTTGGTTTTAGCATGTACACCACTGAGAGATGCCTTAATTAATCAGCAAGGAGATGAAAGATAGCAAAGGACACACAAAGTGTCCATGCAATATCTTTAATGTACCATGCCTGGCTATCAGCACTGTAACACAGAGCAAAGTGACCCCAAATCAAGGGAGAAGAGTTATTAAGGTGTTATATATAAAAGTGTGAGTGTGTGAGAGAATTTGCTGTGCCACAGGACTAATAAAGCTCTTGCCCACCTGTTTTCAAAGACAGACTTTCATCAGAATTCTCTGTAGCCTCAAGCAAATGTGAACGTGACTTTTGTTTATTTAAGGGATGCACCACAGAGTTGACGAGTTGCCACAAAATAGCTCTAATCCAATTCCTAAGGATAGCAGCATCTGTGGAAGCGGGATTTAAGACATCTGTGTACAACGACGATGAAGCACCTTCCTCCAGACAGCACTACAAATGCAACGTGAAGCTGGTGTTACCATTGCCTAATGCAGTTAGCTGACATTTGCTGCATTTCTGTCTGCCTGCCAGTGCACTTAATTTCATTGACACTGAAACTGTGTTCACATTGGAAGGTGAGAGGGAGGAGGGAGAGATCCTGGACTGGCAATACTCACTAGGACTCACTTGCATGGTGTTTCAGAGAATTGGTAATTCTGCTTGGTGGTACCTGCCTGGCTGTGCTTGGTGCTTGATGTAACACAGCATGACAAGGATCATTAGTACAACCTCAGATCTCAAGCTCTAGTCCTCCTGCAACAACCTGCTGCCTGTGTCCATAGCTCTACTTTAACATCCTTTGTACCTGGGAACTGGGGCAGTCACTCACTGGTTTTAAGGGATATAGCTTATTTCTTCCATCCTTCCTTTTGTTGTTTGTTTGTGATGCTCTGATGTCCTAATGAACCATCTCCATGTTCACCCCAGATCTGCACGATGATAGCTACAGATACCAGCTTCTGGCTGACTGAAAATTTCTTTTAGTGGTTGCATCACACAAGTCTGTCAAAGAAAGAGGGCGTTTTGACAGCAGCATGCCTTGAAATCCAATTTTACTGTCAAGCCCATGGTACTAAAGTCCAGCCACTAGAGCAGACTGCATAGGAACAAAAATGAACCTCCCAGCCATAAAACCGGGGATTTATAAAAGTGACTCTAAAAATCTAGAAAATCTAGTTGATCTAATTTTCTTTGATGAAACTGAATGCCAGAATCATGTCCTTGTCATAGAAATCAAAGAAGTTTTCATCTTCGCATTAGGTACTGTTCTACACAATCTTTTCCACAGCAACGTGATTCTGCCAGCTGGCATTGAAGGAGTACACTCCATTCACACCAACCAAATGAAATAAATCATATTTCATTTTCAGCATTCAAACAAGTCCCTACACTAAAAGCTACTCTGAGGTTGCTTGAAAAGTCTCTGCCTGAAGGAAAAGTACAGTAAAAAAAAAAAAAATCCCTGAATTTTCATCTTGAGTTGTGCACTTTAAAACAGGAAAAAAGGCTTTTTTAAAGGCATTACAGATTAAATTATGGCCACTAACCAGTAATCAGACAAAATTGGATTATAATAACTAGTTTAAAAGTCTGGACTATAGATAATTCAGTTAGGTTACATAAATACTCATCAGTTATAATCTAGCCAGAAAAATATAGTTGATTACTTTGACAGCAAAACTGATACAACTCATGCAGCTACACATTTTACATCTCTGCAGTCATTTTCTATATCACAACAAGAAAATCCAAACTGATGTGCCCTTGAATGAATGCATGCCATCTCTGTGCCCGTAAGCTGGTATCCTCCTTGACAGAGCCCTCACAGTAGCTGTCAAGGAGTACAAGTATTCTGATGAATTATCCACTGCTCACAGTTCAGACCACAGAAACACATCATGTGGGTCACCACGCGTCCTCAGGGCTTTTCCAGTTGCTGTGGTCAGTATTCTGCCATCTGTCACCAGCCAAGGTCTCTCCTTGAGCACAACTCTTTGGGCATGTTGCCATACATCAGCTGTCAGTAGATTATAGCCTGATGGCTCCTCCTGCTCTCGCACCAGGATTCAGCCATGCTGAATTACACAGGGGGTTGCATCTGCCATTAATGAGGGAATGGCTTGAAGGCTGGTAATTCCCACATCTTTCCAGAAGTGAGATGCATGTCCAAAGAAGGGCAACAAAGTTGGTGAAGAGTCTGGAGCACAAGTTGCATGGGGAGCAGCTGAGGGAACTGGGATGGTTTAGTCTGGAGAAGATGAGGCTCAGGGGAGAACTTATTGCTTTCTACAACTCCCTGAAAAGAGGTTCTGGTGAGTTGTGGTTGGCCTCTGCTCCCAGGTAATAGTGATGGGATGAGAATTAATGACCGTAAGTTGCACCAAAGGAGGTTCAGATTGGATATTTGGAGCAATTCCTTCTCATAAAGAGTAGTAATGCATTGGAACAGGACGTCCAGGGAGGTGGTTGTGTCTCTGTTCGGGGAGGTGTTCCAGAACTGTGGAGATGTGGCACTGAGGGACATGGTCAGTGGGCACGGTGGGAATGGACTGGGATTGGATTTGGTTATCTTAGAGTTTTTTTCCAACCTTAATGATTCCATGATTCTATTCCCATCTGTTCATTACACAGAGTTCTCCTTTCCTGAACAGGAGAGCAATTGAATTTCAAGACAAGAAGGCCTCTATGTAACAGACAATCTAGGTACATTCTAGCTATTTTTGTCTCACACAAAGACAAGATCCAGCTGCAATGCTCCATTTTGCCTTAAGAGCATAACATTTCTTCCTATTGCTAGCCTTGCTGCTACACAGAATCACAGAATTGTAGGGGTTGGAAGGGACCTCTAGAGATCATCGAGTCCAACCCCCCTGCCAAAGCAGGTTCCCTACACCAGGTCGCACAGGTCAGCATCCAGGCAAGACTTGAATATCTCCAGAGAAGGAGACTCCACAACCCCCCTGGGCAGCCTGTTCCAGTGCTCCGTCACCTCACTGTAAAGAAGTTCTTGTGCACATTCGTGCAAAACTTGCTGTGCTGCAGCTTATGTCCATTTCCCCTTGTCGTGTCTCCACGTACCACTGAAAAGAGACTGGCCTCACCACTATGGTCTCCACACCTCAGATATTTATAATCCTGGATTAGATCCCCTCTCAGTCGTCTTTTCTCAAGGCTTTCTTGAGGCCTGGTTCACTCAGCCTTTCTTCATAGGTAGATGCTCCAGGCCCCTCACCATCTTTGTGGCCCTCCGCTGGACTCTTTCCAAGAGGTCCCTGTCTGTTTTGTACTGGGGAGCCCAGAACTGGACGCAGTGCTCCAGATGAGGCCTTACCAGGGCAGAGCAGAGGGGGAGGATCACCTTCCTCGACCTGCTGGCCACGCTCTTTTTAATGCACCCCAGGACGCCATTGGCCTTTTTGGCCACGAGGGCACACTGCTGGCTCATGGCCAACCTGTCATCCACCAGGACACCCAGATCCCTCTCTGCAGAGCTCCTCTCCAGCAGTTCATCCCCCAGCCTGTACTGGTACATGCAGTTCCTCCCTAGGTGTAAGACTCTACACTTGCTTTTGTTGAACCTCATCCGGTTTCTTACTGCCCAGCTCTCCAGCCTGTCCAGGTCCCGCTGAATGGCAGCACGGCCTTCAGGCGTGTCAGCCAATCCTCCCAACTTCGTATCATATACACATATATACACATTTCTAATCATGCTGTAGCAGGCAAAAGATGTTTGAGAAAGTTTGCATGCCCTCTCTAAACCTTAGTGTCATCTTGTGTGTCATGCTGTTGCACGTGTTTAAAGTTTATTTAGTATCTACACCTGAAGTGCCCACAGTAATTTAAATAACTTTTTTTTTAATTCTGGTAAGTTCATTTATTTATTTCATTTGGTCAAAACACATCAATTCAGATAGGAATTGATTTTTAAAAGAAAACAGGTTTCC